TGTATATATATAATATATATATATATTATATATATATATATATATATAAAGAGAGAGAGAGAGAGGGAGAGAGAGTTAATTTAGACTTGATCTAACTAGGTAGAAATGCATGCACAGAAATATCCCGTCATAGACTTGAGTGTCAGGCAGCCACAGCTCTGCAGGTGATGGGATTTGAACCCTCCAGAGGTGACGCGTTGAGTCAAAGGTCATCGATTCGTCACCCTATCAATACAGTTCAGCTCACACACAAACGACCGCGCGGCTAATAATTCTGCTGTCATTCATTTTACCTTCAATGAAAATACAAACATTGATTTTGCAGCTACTCCGTGAATCACACACACACACACATACACACACACACGTGTGTGTGCACCAGCACGCACGCATCCATTTATCCTGGACAGTTGTTGAGTCAGTCGTTGGATTCACTGGTCCGTGGTAATAACAGTGAGGCTGATGGGAAGTCAGCTGAAGGGTTAGGGGCTGCAGCAGAGAATGGTCCCAGCACGGCTCCCTGCAACAACACACACACTCACACACACACACACACACACACACACACACGCTCCCACTATCTGTCACCCCACCCAGTCCCATCTCTCCCAGTTTACAGGGGAAACATGACTGTCCATTCTCATCAAGAAAGGAAGGGGTATTGAAGACAGGAGGATGAGCAGGGGGAGGGAAGAGGGAGGACGGACGAGGGGGGACGAGGGGAGACAACAGTTTGATGTCCCCCTGAGGGAGCTTTCAATTGCAAAGGTTTAGGAACGGGAGGAAATTGAAGACAAGGACGGGAGAAAACAGGAAATGTGATACCAAATGAATTTCCATTCATACTCTGGGATTAACGGACAGTTATGGTGATTCGTCCACCGTGAGGTCAGAACAAGTGGTGAACAAGCAGGAAGTGCGCAGAGAGAGTCGTCGTACTTTAGTGCTTCATATTCTCCAAAATGGACAAAAGAAAAATGCAGCAGCAGCAGCAAACTGCAGCTCCGAACCACAGAAACAAAGATGGCAAGAGTGGAAGAGGTTTATTTTAATTTTATTCTGAAATTTTATGCATTATTAAATCATCAAAAAATTCATTACCTCTCATTAATCCACACTGTCTGAGATTCACAATTGTTTGTTTGTGTGTTTTTTTGTATTTTTTTATTCTGAAATATTATGCATTATTACATCATCAAAAAATGCATTACCTCTCATTAATCCACACTGTCCGAGATTCACAATTGTGTGTTTGTGTGTTTTTTTGTATTATTATTTTACAACAATCGTTTCTCTGACTACGTGCAGGTACCGAGCTGACCACAGGGGGAGCTGTAGATCACACTACTTCGCATTACGGCCCCTTCAGTGACTCGAGTTCGACGACTCCACTGTCTAAGGTAGGACGATCACTGTCAACACATTAACACATAAATGTGTGACACCTGACGGCAGAGTCTAAAAACTGTTAGCGTCTCAGACGTTTTTTTTTACTTTTTCGTCTTAACAAAGCCGATGTGAAGAAACACCACTGACACTGAAGTTGTCATCAAGGTGCCGTCGATCCAACGTAAACTGATTGAGCAGAGGATCAGCAGACAATTAAAAAATTAACTCAGAGCCAGAGTCATTAATCACTGCGATTTAGGGAATCTCTCAGCACTTCTCGGAGAGATTCTGATCATCAGCGTTGACAGTTCTCATGCCCAACAAGTTACTGTGTTTGGTCTGGAGCCATGGAAACTGGGGAAGCACAGCAGGAGAAAAAAAAAAGAAACTGCAGCTCCCTATGGCTTTGATTGCTTTTTCCATGTGATGAGATTCTGCTGAGATAAATGACAGACAGAAGTACAGAGAAATACAGAAGGAAAACACACCACACACTGGAGAAACACACGCCTGGACCAAAGACGTGATAAATGAAGCGGCCACATCTTTATGACCATGGATATCCATGATCTTTACTCAAACTATAAATAATAAAATTGGCATAAAAATGGCTGACTTCACTTCTTTGTAGGTCTCTTACACCAAAGACTGGGTCGCGACCCTCAGCTGATTACTGATATTACAATAATGAATACAATAAAAATAACAATACACTGTTTCAATACATGATTTTGCCGCTAAATGTTTCTACTTCTTTTTGTTTTGGAGTTGTTTTATTGTCTTACTATAGAATCGATCTAAACTTTCAACTTAAGAAGTTCTGAAATCGTCTTACTGGACAACAACGAAGTGCTTTAACTGATTTGGTTAAACTCATTGCTGTTTCTTGATGGATATTTGTATTTTTTTAATTACTTTTTGCTGGTGGTCCATCAGTTATTGTACTGTGATGGTGATTTTTCAGTCATTAGTGAATTATATATAATGTTCATGATAAATCCTTCGTTGCATCTTTGGTGTTTTTCAGTTTTTAAAATATTTTTGTTGATGGAATAAATGTTCGAATTACGGCATTTCTTTAAGTATTTAAGTCATCAATAAAGTTTTCCGAATTGGCAAAATTTAACATCATATATTAATATCACTGTTAAGCAACTTTTATCAGGAAAAAGTTCCGTAAAACTTCCTGTCGAGTACTACTATCATCATATGTATTAGGTATTCACTGTGTATGTGGTTTTGAAGTTTTACTGCAGTGTGTATTTGACACCAGAGTACTTCTGTATTTGGGACCAGGCGGACGTTTCTGGTATCATGTGCGTCTGTTGTGTCTGTTCTTCATGTTCTGAACGTGTGGTGAGAGAATGAGAGACATGAGAAATCTGAACCCTCGTCTTGGTGCCGGCCTCATTATCCAACAGCGAATGAGAGACATGAGAAATCTGAACCCGGCCTCATTATCCAACAGGCAATTTCAATCCAACATAATTAAGGCACAACAATGCAATAACTGTCAGCTCATTACAGAGAAGAATAAAATTCACATCACGGTGTCACTCTCACAAATGCCAGTTTCTGTTTAGTTTAGTTTCAAGTCTCTGGGTGGAGCTCCATCTGCTCGGGCTCCTTATCTTTGGCCACTCTGGGAAGATTTGCTCGAGGATGAGAGAGTTGGTAGGTGTTAAGTCAGTAAAGCAGCTTTAATTAAAAGGCTATTGTTCGTTTTCCAGAAGATTAAAGGAGGAGTGCGCTTTAATGATATGTAAACGATGGAAGCATTTACTGACGGAATCCTCCGGATCAGTTCCTCACATAGACAGTTGATGTAGATATAACAGGGACTTGGTGTGTGTGTGTGTGTGTGTGTGTGTGTGGTGTGTTCAATTACAGCAACTGTCAGATTGTAATAACTAAAACATCTTAAGACACGTCTCTCAGAAACTTCCCACAGCTAAAGTTTTATCATTTTATCTTTTGATATCATTTAAATATGCGTCATATTTTTAACACTCTGAAAAAGGAACAATCTTTAAATTAAAGTATTCTTTTTTCAACCAATCAGGATTCCAAACCCCTGACCCATCAGTCTTTAGCTGGTTGTTGTTCGTAGTCTATAGACTGTCCTGTCCAGTGGTCTCTCTGTCATTGGCTGACGCCGTTGTCTACGTGGAGTTAGCCTGACGTGTCTTTTCCGGCCACAGACATTCATCTCCGTCTTCAGTCCTTGACTTTCCCGTCTTTTCTTACTCGTGTTTTTTTCCAACAAGTATAAAATCCACACCTTGTCTCTCTGCTCTGGTTTATACGACCTTGTTAATGCAGGTTTTTTCTTTTTCTCTGCTCAGTCTTGACGTTGTGTTCCAGGTGTGACATGAAATGGTTTTCTTTAAAAACAAAAACCGTTGACCGTTTCATCCAGAGTCAGGTTTTAGGCCACCTCCACGGCTGTTCTGCTGTCATGGACGTCATCGCAGTGGCGGTTGGAGTACACAGTACTGTGTGTTGTGAGTAATACTGTAATAACTCTGAATGAATGTTAAAAAGAAAAAAAAAAAAGTCAGTGTTTTTTAGAGGCTGGTCTGTGAATTTGACAAGTAAAAGATGTCTGTGGTTCTGTGTGAGGAAC